TATAATTTTATTTGTATTAAATTACTAAAATTACTGTTTGATGTTCTGTGAAGAAAATACCTCTAGTAAAAATCTATTAACAGTCTAACAGTTACCCACTTATCGAAACAACGAAACTTGAACGAAACAAACACCACGGCACATTGTCATGGATATTTATGCCAATGCGACAGTGATTAGAATGGTCTTGACGGAAACAGTACTCGGAAAAATTGTCAGTTCAGGAGCTTGGAACACCCTCAAAAGGAAAATTCCACTCCTCCAACACCCAGTGGATGACATACTAAGAATGAGCAACTTTGAGAAACACATCACTGCAATTGAGCAATAAAAAGAATTGGAAGAGAGAAACCTTTGCAGGTTAAAGACCACACCATAACGTGGTGTACTCATACTTCTAAAATGTAAACAGTAACAGGGATAGGAGTATTTAGGCGGAGAAATTAATACTCCGAACCAACGAGTACCTACCCCAGCATCATTCGGGCAAAAATCTACGCTACTGAAAGATGCGTACAACTTTTCTTAGATATGAACTATCGGAAACAAGAAATATTCATCTTATCCGATAGCCAAGTAGCAATAAAAGCGACCAACTGAGTAACCATCAGTTGGAAGTTGGTCAAAGAATGCCTAGAGACTCTAAACAAATAGGCAAAGAAAATAAGTCCTTGTACTCTGGGACCAGCCTACTAAGATATAGAAAGTAATAAAAAAGCAAACGATCTAGCTAGAAAAGTCTTCCAAGTTTTCCAGGTTTTTCAAGTTTTCCAAGTTTTCCAAGTTTTCCAAGTTTTCCAAGTTTTCCAAGTTTTCCAAGCTTTCCAAGTCGAAACCATCTTAAAGCGGGACTCCTAGAAGAACTGGAAGAACCTGGAAACCTGGAAATTTTCAAGAATCCGTAACCTAAAATGGAAATCTTCCAAACTCGAAGAAATTTCTCAGAGCTTACGACCGAGAAAAATCAAGGATTTTTCTTGATTTAAGTAAGCACAATCTTCGGATTGTCACGGGGTTACTAACAAAATACGGTCTCCGAACATCTTAGTAGATTGAAGCTAAGAAACCACAGCGAGTGCAGATTCTATGGGGAAAATGAAAAAAAAACAAAAATAGCCTGGCGCACTTATCAATGAGTGCGCCAAGACGACAACCATTCATGCTACAAACTTTGGTATGATTCATATCGGAGAACTAACCGCTGTAATACCGTTTCAGGTACTGGTTTTTGTCAAAACTCTGAGATTGTATGATGAGTTATAGTTCAAGAAAAGGGGGCACAGTCAATTTATAAGGTCGCGGTGATTAACTTTGCCCCTCCCATACAATTTACAATCTATCAACAAGAATCTATTAGAAAAATGAAAGACTTGCAAGACTCTTATAGCAAGATCAAGACTATGATTCGACCCAGACTAAGAGAATCTTCTTCTTGGTTTTGCATTTCCTCATCACTACCAATTTTGCATTATATTTACCATGTCTCTCGCATTAACTCAATAAGGAAAGTTTGCAGGGGTGGATGGGAAAGTGGAAACCGGCCCGGGAAAAACAGGCAACCGGCCCAAATCCACAAATACAAAATTACCTAAACGAAGAAACATATTTTATTTATTAATATATAAGTAAGGGTGTTTTTCGCTCGTGCGAAAAAGCTCTTTTGCCTCCGGTTTAGAAAAAAATTAAATTGTCTTGATCAAAATTTTCGTAAAGACCAATATTGGGTCGGACATCTGAAATGTTACTACAAAATGCCTCAGTTTTACAGGGTTCTACTGCTTTATTTCTATCTAATCTAGTTTAAACCTTATTTAACTCTTCTCTGTTGTCTCAGCAATTTTTAGCAAATTCATTTTAGCTACATTTTAAACAACAATTTAGACTTGGCTTTTAGTTCTCAGACGGCTTTTAGTCCGTTTCCCCAATTCAAGCCAAGCATAGGTATGTTTTCTCCGTCAACCGCAGAGTTAGCTAATCAAATCTTTTTTGAGCTCTTATCGGAACCGCCCCACCGGCCCAACTTTCCACCGGCCCACCGGGAATTTTCCCGTTTTCTCATATGGCCCATCCACCCCTGAAAGTTTGAATCACTCTGTATAATTCTGTGGTTGATAGTATAAACTCTTGGATTTTGTTCGCTGAAATGTTCTTGATACAATGAATTTAACGATGTTGGGAATATTTTTTAGATAGAATCTTTTAACATCCTATAATAGCAGAAATTTAAATATTACAATTTTGGATATAATTTTAATAAAAATAGATGTTGTTTCGTAATTTATTTCCAAATCTGTCGAATTAATATCTATTTCCGCGTAACCAACGATTTTTTTGAACTTTGATTTATAAAACCCTTTTTAAAATACACGAGAGCGAATGAATAAAAATATGATAATAAAAGACGAAAAGAATAAGTTATTCATTCATATTTTTTAAACGTTAAAGGACAATTTATTACAAAAAAAAAGTTTCCTTGGCATATGTCCAAACTTAATTTATTAGCTATCACTATAATTTATCGAAACATAGTTTGTATTTTAAATCAAAAGCATAGATTTTTGGATATCGATTAAAGTATTGAGTCATAGTTCTTTAGATATTTCACCTCTTTAATCAAATTAGGTACATTATCTTTTGTTGACGTATCATTGTGTCATTTAAAAATAGAATTAATGTATAATAGGAAGAGATGAATAAAATATTAATTTATTAATTTGTCTAGAAATTTTTAATTATTCAAAAAGCAGTGGTGTATAGAAAATTTTATCCTCATATTTCTAAAATTTTCAAAATTTTAATTTTTACTTTCTACCCTTTGAGGTGGCTAAATATCTTTACTTAATACACATTAGGGTTTCCGGAACAGGAGCTGTTTTTCGGAACCGAGAATTTTGGTACCTTTTAGGAACTAGGATTTCCTGTTTTTTCGGTACTTTTGGTACTAACTAATTTTTGTTCAATGCTGTTGCAGTTCATCAATTAGAAAGCAAGGGATGGTTTTTCAAAGTAAAATCGATAAAAAAAACTGAGATTTTTAATGAAAATATCCAATTATTAAGGAATCAGTCATGAGAAAATTAATATAAACACAAGAAAAAAAAGTAAGGGTGGGTAACTTAAAATTCACATCAAACAACATAAACCCATTTAACTAAATTTGATAAAAAAGTCCTACATTTTTAAATTCAAAATGCAAATATCTATTAAAATAAAATATAAAATATAACTAATACATTGAACAACATTATACTAAATAATAAAATAACATACAGGGTGGCCCATCGAAAACGTCCCGCAAGGCATAACGGTCAGGGTAATTTTTTTTCAGAAAATTTAAAAACACGTCAATTTTGTTTGTGAGGGGGACAACTTTTGCTACAAAAATGATTGAAAAATCTTCAACCCTCTAAGCGGGGGTGTCATCCCCCCATTTTTTCAAATGGGAAGGTTGGTCAAGTGGTACCGTAATGAAAAGGGCTTTCTATTCTCTATACTTTCCCACTTCGTTTTTGAAAATCGCTCGAGTCATTGAGAAAATATGAAGATTTGAAAAGTTCTTCTTAATATCGTTAAACTTTTTAACAATTTTGGTGTACTTACTTGCAGAAAAAGTGGAAATAATCGAACTTTATTTTAAAAATAATGAATGTGGCAATCCGGTTGCGCAGATATTCAATGAACGCCATCCTGACAAACACCTTTATGGCAAAATTGTTCGTGAGATAGTAGCAAAATTTCGCAAAACTGGTTCCGTTATGAATAAAAAGAGGCAGAGGGAAAATTCTGTAGTAAATGAAGTTATGGAGGTATTCGTATTGGACTAAGTTGCCATGGATAGTACGCTGAGTACAAGAAAATTAGTCAATGAGAGCGGCGTGAATCGTACAAGTGTCCAAAGGATATTAAAGAAAACACAAGTTCCACCCGTACAAAATTCAGTTGGTACAAGAACTCAACGAAGACGATTTTGATCGTAGCTTGCAATTTTGTGAAACTATGAGTGAACGAGTGGCGAATGATAATAATTTCCTATTTAATGTGTGTTCGCACAAGTCACAGAACAGCAACTATCTAGCAACTACCGCAGATGATCGTTCAACCTTGTGGCAAGTGAAAAAAAGCGTAAACATCTAGAAATAATAACAAAAACAGCAAATTGGTCGAAGGAATTTATCCTTATCATTTACTCTGATAAATGTTTAAATAAACTTTTCAAATTTCAATCCATCATATTTTCTCAATGACTCGATCGATTTTAAAAAACGAAGCGGGGAAATATAGAGAGTAGAAAGCTCTTTTCATTGCGGCGCCACTTGACCCCCTTGCCATTTGAAAAAAGTTGGGGGATGACACCCCCGCTTAGAGGGTTGAAGATTTTGCAATCATTTTTGGGGCAAAAGTTGTCCGCCTCACAAACAAAATTGACGTGTTTTTTGATTTTTTGAAAAAAAATACCCTGACCGTCATGCCTTGCGGAACGTTTTCGATGGGCCACCCTGTATTTAAACCTATTATAGGAACTTCAAAAGGGAAAAGAAGCAAGAGAAAGGGAAAAGAAGCAGAATTTGACCGCTAGAATGTATTAATGGTCATCCGCGCGCAACAAAAAATAATTTTTTAATTATTGTTACCGAAAGTCCCGAAAGTACCAAAAAGAACCGGGAATTACTTTCGGCACCGGGATTTCCGGATATGTAGCCTTACAAGAATTATTTTATATTTACGATTAAGATTGTGAATGAATTTCAACCAACAGATTTCTCACATAAAATAAACCAATTTTTATGGAAATTTTGGGCAGTATTAATATTTAAAATATTTAAATCGAGCAAGAAATTAATACGAATACTAGATAGAACTTTTGTGTAATATACATACATATGGCTATTACGAGAACTTATACCGAAATACCGGAATTTGATACGCCCCTGAACTTTTCGTTAATGATCAGCTTGGGATCATCCGCGATTTAAATTTGTCATATAAATAGGGAACTTTGCCAAAAATGGTTATTCACTTTTTTGCTTGCAAGTCGAATCTTCTATCAGTTCAAAATGTTCAGATTGGTAAGTTTACATAAATATGTGTTTTTTGTACACACATCACATTTAATTATGTAAAGAGTTAATGTTCCTCAATTATATTCAAACATTCTTTGAGATATTTTAGTCAAAATAGCTACTAAGTTAAAAAAAATTAAAATATTTTTGATAGTAACACATTTCTTTACTTTTTTGATTCATTTACACGAACCTAGCCAGTAGCTGGCGAACCTATCGAGTTTCACTGGTACACCACCTACTTGATACTTGTAAATTAGTTGTTAGGTGAAAAGAAAAGTGTAACCTGGTGCTTTCAAGTATCTGTCAAATTCAACATTTAAAGATTTAAAGTGTAGAAATGGCTAAAAAGTGCGCAAATGACCTTTTATTTGAAAATGTTGTCTTTTTTAGTTTTGATCTAATGTTTTTATTTAATCTAACTTTTAGGCGTCTAGGTAGAATATTTTTGCTATTTTTAATCAATGGTAGCCGTTTCTCATGGTAGGCGTAAAAATAACTGATAATAATATGTTTTCAGTCAATAATTTATCTTGATTGTGAATTTGGTTAAATTTTAGGAATAAATTGATATTTAGAAAAAAGTTAAAATTTGGTTGCAGGAAAATTATTGCGCGATATAATCTATGAATATATTATTTCTCCCTTTTATTGAACTGGCATCATTAGTATATTATTTTTCCTTCTAATTACACAACTTAAGTTTAGATTTTCTTTAAAAATAAACCCCAATATACCGGATGTTGCATCGTCGGACGGGACATAGGAAATCCCATGTAAATTTTAATGGGGTTAATTATTGGCTTCCCTAATTATTTTAGAGAATAATTCTATTTACGTTTATTGAAGAGTACTAAAACCCACATTTCAAAAGAATAACTTTAGATATTTTTGATTAGCTCGTTTACGAGTTATCGCCGATTTCTTTTTAAATATTTCTCCTTTCTTATGGCCCTGTATTTACTTATGAGCACCAGTCAAGGTAAAAGATAACTGTCAAATGAAGTTGTCATTTCAGAAATTTACCTATTTAGTGCTTTATTATTATTGAAAACTCATTCCTACATCGGAAGTCTTAAAGATGTATTTATAAAGACAAATTAATATGAATTAAAGTAAAATAAAGTAATCAATTACAAGGTTAATTATAGTATTATTACAATATTCAATAACTTATTAATTTAGGTACTATTAAATTGTTAGAACTTAGGATTTAAGAAGATGTTTAAATATTCCTCCATCGACTGCTAGACAATAACCCAGGCGATCATAAAATTCTCTCCTTACATTCGCTAGTTGGTAAACTGAAATTCTATTGCATTCGGCAGAAATAGCATTTTTTAACTCGTCTAGATTTGGGTATTTTTTATCCTTGTATATCCTGTTTTTTAAATGGACCCAGAGAAAGAACTAATTTGGTGAAATATCAGGAGACCTTGCTGGCATTTACTGTATGATTTAGGCCAATAACGTTTCCGTTAAAACTATTGTCTAAATATTCCCGAACAGCCAAGGTACTATGTGCCGGGCAGCCATCCATTTGGTACCAAACTTCCTGATTTTCCCTAGCGGTATCATGTAAAGCAGGTAAAATATGATATTCGAGTAGTTCTAAATAATATTCTGCATTTAAATTTCGCGTAAGAAATAATGGCCCGATAATATTGTGTCCGAATATCCCTGCCCAAACATTTACTTTCTGTGGATATTGCGTCCTTGTTTCGACAAACCTGTGTTGGTTTTCTTTGTTCCAATATCGATAATTTTGAACATTGGGTTCATTATTTAAGGTAAACGTGCATTCGTCAATGAAACGTGTTTTTTAAAAATTCCCTATCCGTGTTTGCTCTTTCCATCATATCAAAGCAAAACGCCTGCCGCCGTATTTCGTCCCCATCTCGTAGCTCTTGGTGCTTTTCATATTTGAAGGAATAGTATTTATGTCGTTTTAAAATTCGAAACGCTGTAGTGTGATCTATTCCTATTTCAACCTCAAGTTTCCTTGTGCTGATCTTTCCATTGTTTTCTTCCACGCACAATAAAACTTCCAAGTCGGTATCATTTCTTGCATCTTCTCTTTGTTCCTGCCTTGCTTCACATCTGCAGTTATTTATTAGGGTAACTTTGGTCTCAAATCTCTGGATATTCCTTGCGATTGTAGATTTTCCAGGTATCGGTCTATTCGGATACAGAGCAGCAAACATGTCCGACACCTTTTGATAACCATTTCCTTGATAATACCATTTAATCATCAATACTTTTTCTTGGGAAGTGTAATTCATGGCTAATATTTTCGATGTAGGTATGAGTTTTTAATAATAATAATAAAGCACTAAATAGATAAATTTCTGAAATGACAACTTCATTTGACAGTTATCTTTTACCTTGACTGGTGCTCATAAGTAAATACAGGGCCATAAGAAAGGAGAAATATTTAAAAAGAAATCGGGCGATAACTCGTAAACGGGCTAATAAAAAATATCTAAAGTTATTCTTTTACATGTGGGTTTTAGTGCTCTTCAATAAACCTAAATAGAATTATTCTCTAAAATAATTAGGGAAGCCAATAATTGACCCTATTAAAATTTACATGGGATTTTCTGTTCCGCTCGACGATGCAACACCCGGTATAGTATACAAACTATATTCCAGAAACTTCGGCATCATATTCTGCAGATAAAAATAAGTAAAAAAGTTCGTATAAATGTATATCCTAAAATATTTAGTTTTGGACATACAGGGTGTAGAAGTTTAATTTTTATTTTATTTTTTTTAAATAATTTCTGAAGTAACATGAATAATTGGATGAAAATTGGTATCTGGGAGTTTTTTGACATGAGAAATTTGATTTTGATGTCAATATGACTCCTACTTGTAGAGGGCGCCACCTACATATTTTTTAACAGGTTTGAAGAGCAATAACTTTTCTTTCGTCCCTGTCTAAAACTATTGATCAAAAAAATATACATTTGCGGCGTTTTTTACGCGAAAAAGGTCTCTTGGTAAAATTCGCCACAAGCAACCGTTCTCAAGATATTTAGAATGAAGATTGTCAATACATGTCATTATTGACAAAAAAATAAACATGTTGAATAGATAGTTGTTTGACTGAATTGATAAATTCGAGAACTTTTTATGTTTTTAAATTAATCACCAATTTTTCTTCGAAAAAATTATGATAAAACAGTTTCTGATGAACTTTTGGCACAAAAACATACCAAATTTATGATTTGAGTCTATAAACTATTTAGTCAACATGTTTAATGTATGTCAATGATGGCAGGTATTGATAATTTCGATTCCAAATATCTCGAGAACTATTATTCGTAGCGATTTTTACCCAGAGACGTTTTTTACGTAGCATCTATAATTTCATAAAAAAAAGTTCTCAGTCGTGTGAAAACCTCATCTTTTTATCTCTCTCTACATCAGTAGAGAAATGAGACATCCTGTACAGGGTGGCTCGAATTCGACGCTCATCATTGGAATTTCGGAAACTGTAAGAGATACAGGATCGGTTAAATGGAGGCAAAGTTGCGCAATTTGGTGCTCAATAAAATGCCGTATTGCATTTTGAAAAATTCCGAATACTTAAAAAAACTAGTATAATACTTAGAAAACTTACTACAAAAAAAAACGGAATTTTCAATTTTGTTTTCTATTGTTTTCTGACTTTATTTGTTAAATAAAAATTGCAAAAAAATGCAATACGGCATTTTATTGAGCATCCAATTGCGCAACTTTGCCTCCATTTAACCGATCCTGTATCTCTTACGGTTTCCGAAATCCCAACGATGAGCGTCGAATTCGATCCACCCTGTACACTGGATGTTGCCATATAAGTATTTGAAAACAGTAGTTCTTGTGTAGTTCGTCAAATATCTTATCTCTTTAAATAATAAAGTAAGTTAGTGAATCTAGCGAACCAATTGGTAGAATCCTAGTGACAACATTTTTCAGGTAGATTTCTTGATAACATTATATAACCGAAAATAAATTCTAAAATGTTAAACAATTCTTTTTATCGCGAATTAATATGTATCATTTGTGTTTATTATGTTTATTGGAATGCTATTTTAATAATTTGGTCATTTATATCGAATATTTAGACGTTCTTTTACACAATGGAACTACCGAAATGAAATTTGCATAATTTTGAAGAGATTGTTGAAGTATTTATAGGCGAAACATTTGGGAAATATTTACATTAAGAAAAAATAAATTTATGCCAAAGTTATTATCTAGACTTATAAAAGATATTTTATATAAAAGTATAAGTACTTAATTAATAAATACAGATTGGTACATTGTTTCTCCTACTATAGGATATTTAACAATTGATAGATAACAGGAGCCCGGGACATAGGATTTATTTGTTTAATAGTACTAAATAGTTGAAAAGGTCTGGTTTTTTTTCACCATTGAAAGAGAAATCTTCAAAATAAGTTATCTTTTGAAAACATCTCTGGGGGGCGTTGAATCCAAATGGAAATCAGCTTGTCACTGTCTTAGTTTCTTAGCAAATCAATTTTTTAAAAAATATAAATAGAAAAAACTATTTAAATTAACTAAATATAATTCAGAGAATATTTTAAATTTAAGCATCTACAGATGCATTTACTTAAATCAAATTAGATTATTTATTATAAAAAGAAATACCTAAATCGAAATGAAAACAAAAATATAGCCAACAAATGACAACTGTCAAATCGACTGGTCTCAACTGGTCAATTCCAGATCATTGATTGACAAAAAATTCTTACTTCACTACACTTCACAACTAGGTGGAACGAAAAGACGATGTTTTATTGTTAAATAAATAGTGCAGCTCAAGCATGAAAAAGTTAAAAGCGGGACAAAATAAAATGCTAACACTGTAATGTAGTATTGTATATTATATTTTTGTTGTTGTTTATACTGTTTCAATTAGTTTTATTTTTCAGTTGGTTGTTTCTTCTATCCTGGCTTACGCTACCACCATTGCCGCATTTCCCCAATTCTCCCAACCACAATTTCGCCTAGAAAGTCCCACAGGAAAGATCGCCATTTTAAGACAAGACTCACAGCTTAATCCCGATGGCAGCTACAGTTGGCAGTAAGTAAAAGAGCTTAAAATTGTAGATTGTATAGGGTGAGGGGGGCAGTTAATCACCGCAACCTTATAGATCTATTGTGTCCCTCTTTCTTGAGTTATAACTCATCATACAGTTTCACGGCTTTGACTAAAGAGATCTATCTGAGACCGTTTTACAGAGGGTAGTTCTCCAACTCCGATATCAGTCGTACCAAAATACTCATTTTTCCTACAGAATCTGCATTCGCCGAAGATTCTTCGCCGAAGATTCTTCGCCGAAGATTCTTCGGACCAGTAACTATGTGATTCTTATAGGCGTTGGATCGTTTTAGAATCCATTAATTAGAATTATTTTTTATACACCAGGTAGAATACAGCATTAGTTCTACAGGATTTGGCAATAGTGCGTCGGGCATTTGTAGCTCCTAGAATAAAAAAAAACTTTACTCCTAGAATTTTGTTTAAGTGCAAATCTAAAGTATGTTCTAGGATGTATTTCAGCAAAATATTTTAACTTCTATAAAATGGCTCAAAAAAGTGTGAGTGGATCGGGATGATTTTTTTTAAATGGAACACCCTGTATATTATTGCATTTTTGGCTTCTTTTCAGATCACTTTACATAATCCTAAGATATGAGTAAATATATTTTGCTAGTTTCAGAGACATTAATAAATACCTATGTATACAGGGTTGTTCGCCACATACGACACGGAATATTGTAGCTAAACGATTAGATTTTTAAAAATTGTAAGTTTTGGGTTCGTTGAAGGACTATTAGAGCTACAATTTAAAAATATTTTTACAAGATACAGAGTGTCCCAAATAACTAAAAAATATCAAAGCTGTATTTTTTAAAATAAAACAGCCTGTATATTATTACATTTTTAGTTTCTACGATTAAAATAAAGGTAAATTTGATCAAGGTCTTTACACTTAAATCTTACCGTTTTTGAAATATTTTCAATTTTGTGAAATTGCAGTATAAATTTTAAGGCTTCATTTCTCCGAGGGTATCAAAGTTTTTAATACTAAATATTTACTGAATTATATTTATTGATCAGTTATTGTGTTGCAATAATACAAATTTTACTACCTTATACAGAGTGTCTAAATATTTATTTTAAATAATTATTAGCTTTAAACGGCAATAACTTGTTTAATTTAAATGGAACTCCCTGTATGTTTTATGAGAGTCAGATGCACATTTTAATTGTCTATCAAATTGTATTATACCATTTCTTACCTATCTCTTCAAGTTTCCGTAGAAAATGCATTTTCTTGTAATTTAGAACTCATTTATCAATATATCCATGGAATACTGACATTTTAGATTATCTTTAAAGATGTACCAAATTTTTAAAGAGTACAGATACTAATATTGTCGATATAGTTCGTTTATTTCATTAAAAAATAAAAAAAAACTGTTTAAATATTTGTTAAAGAGATTAGAATTAGACAGTGTAGTAAAACAACTAACACCTTTAAAATTATATTTCATTTTTTGAAAAATGCTTATTTATAACAGAGACGTTCATTTTCATAACTTATTATTATATTGGCTTCTGATTCAAATCCATATTTGTTTAGAATAATTTGTTAACGAACACAATTAAGTATGTAATTAATTAGTATTTGGGCGGAAATACTGGTGGTAGGTATATTTAATTAATGGTATACTCTTTTATAAAAAATTAAATAGTTTTCTTTTTGCATACAAATGGGCTAGTAATATTATCGTTTTACTAAAAACGATAATATTACTATCCTGTACATTTTGAACAGTTGTTGTTTTAAAAACAATCTAAAATTTCAATATTCCATGGGTATATTGATAAATGAGGTCTAAATTATAAGAAAATGCATTTTCTACGAAAACTTGAAGGGATATTTAAGAAGTGGTATAATACAATTTGATAGACAATTAAATTGTGCATCTGATTCTCATAAAATATACAGGGTGTTCCATTTAAATTAAACAAGTTATTGCCGTTTAAAGCTAGTAATTATTTAAAATGAATTTTTAGACACTCTGTATAAGGTAGTATAATTTTTATTATTGCAACACAATAACTAATCAATAAATAAACTTCAGTAGATATTTAGTATTAATAACTTTGATACCCTCGGGGGAAAAAAAGCTAACTAAAGCCTTAAATTTTTTACTGCAATTTCACAAAATTGAAAATATTTCATAAACGGTAAGGTTTAAGTGTAATAAACCTTAATCAAATTTAGCTTTATTTTAATCGTAGAAACTAAAAATGCAATAATATACAGAGTGTTCCATTTAAAAAAATACAACTTTGATATTTTTTATTTATTTGGGACACTCTGTATCTTGTAAAAATAATTTAAAATTGTAGCTCTAATAATTCTTCAACGAACCCAAAACTTACAATTTGTAAAAATCTAATCGTTTAGCTACAATACTCTGTGTCGTATGTGGTGAACAACCCTGTATAAAAAATATACTATTATGTTTTCAGCCATTTAAAAAAAATATTAAACACAATAACTGTCCTGAAATCAAAACTATATTAGGTATTTACTTTAGATGGTCTGTACTTACTTTGCTATAAATATGGTAATCTTAAATCATACAGGATGCCCAAAATTTTACGCCAATCTTTCTAAAATATAAAATAATTTTTCTTGATTTTTTTAGATGGAACACCCTGTATATTATTTTTTCAATAGATGAAGAGTTAAAAAATAAACATTTTCTGTATTTAGAGTATTTCAAAATGTTTAACAGTTTCGCAGATATTCGCGGTTTTATATTTCATATGGCATTTTCCATTGTAAGTTTTTATCAAAGCCACCCAATGATTTTTTTCTCGTATTTTACCGTTGAGAGAGCCAGCCATATGAAATAATACTGCGCGTATCTGCAAAACCATTAAGAATTTTGAAATACCTTAAATACAAAATATGTTAATTTTTTAATTCTCCATCTAATAAAAAAAAAATATACAGGGTGTTATATTTTAGAAAGTTTGGCGTAGAATTTTGAACACCCTGTGATTTAAGATTACGATAGTTATAGCAAAGTAAGTATAGACCATCAAAAGTAAATACCTAATATAGTTTTGATTTCAGGACAGTTCTTGAATTTGTAATATTTTTTTAATAAAGGTTGAAAAATATATATTTTTTATTTATTTATTAATATCTCTGAAATTATCGAAATATATTTACTCATATCTTAGGATTATGTAAAGATGTAAAGTGGTCTGAAAGAAAGCCAAAAATGCAATAATATACAGGGTGTTCCATTTAAAAGAAATCACCCCGATTCACTCACGCTTTTTTGAGTCACCCTATAGAAGTTAAAATATTTTCTTGAAATACATTCTTGTACAAAATTCTTAAGTTTTATATTCTAGTAGCTACAGATGCTCGACGCACTATTGCCGAACCCTCTATGCAGCAACAAAATATTAAGTATATAAATAAAAGTTTAGTGTATATTTGGTTTGATTTCTTGGTTTAAAAACGTTTTTAACGGCATTTTTAGGTATGAAACTGAAAATGGTATCAAGGCCCACGAACAAGGCCAACAGAGATCACCATTTGTAGGAGGAGGCACTTCCGCTCAAGGGTATTACTCTTACACAGCTCCCAATGGTTTACTAGTCGCTTTGAACTACGTAGCTGACGAAAACGGTTACCAACCACAATCTGACGTGCTCCCCACTCCTCCACCAATCCCCGCAGCTATCCTGAGGTCTCTGGAATGGAACCGTGCCCATCCAGAACCCCAACAGAACCCTTTTAATTAGGTTTATTGTTCCATTGTACAATTTATTTGTAGGTTAAGTTTTTGTATTTGTAAATAAAATCTATTTTTAAAGATGTTGAACTTTTAATTTCAATAACTTTCAAAAATGAAATTATCAGTCGATTTTTATTCAGATCTATTGAGGATACATTCTCCAGTTCTATCCTTTTTTCTATCCCAAAAAGTCTAGCAATTTAGAGACTGAACCCTCCATATAGCTCTCTGTCAATGGCCTACATGATGGCCTATCAGAAAACCGCACATTGACCAGGCCTGTCATACTGACATAAAATGTGTTCTGTCTAGTTCTGTCGTTTCATCTTCAAATTGATAGAACCTGCACGTTCGTCAATCCCATTATATTTAGAAAGTACTCGATTAGCGGAACGCCAAGCAGTCGATTTTGGAATTCTGCCGTGCGAATCGTTTTCTGGATAAGCGTTGAGCACATATTGGCAAAATCGCAATTTCTCAGAATCGTCAAATGTGGATAAAACAATGAAAAATTTCAATGTTACGTGAATTTCATATTCTATTCTTGAGTTACGTCAACATATTTTTCTATGGTTATGTCATTATTCTTATTATACGAGGGAAATGTTAAAAACGCTCCTCAGCATTTTCGATGTTTTGAACAAGATTCTACACGCACACTGGTTCGATCACGGCCGCGATCACAATCACGATCAGGGTAGCGATAACATGAGCGATCATTCTAGCACACATCAACTCGTTCACGTTCACCGCCGTACCTATATGTAGTGCGCCATCCTGTAGGTATACATAGGAATATAATAAATAATAATAATAAAAAATAGGTACAAATTAAAAAAATAGAATAAAATAGGTAATAATAAAATAGGTACAAATTAAAAATGTGAATTATGTATACCGAAAAAAAAACATTCTTAAATATTTACCTACAATATTTAAACTTAAACAATAAAAAAGTATACATATATATTATACAGTCCAGTTGCAACTCCAATTTTGTCTCAAACTTTTTATTTTTAATTCTATTATTTTTGTAACTTGGATCGGATAAATCATAAAGAATTTTGTATTTTTACAGCCTTAATTAGCTGCTCTGTTAACTCCATTTCTAAATTGAAACAAGAAAAAACACACAAAATAACGGAAAATTCCTATCAGTTGGGTCGCGATCACGCGATCAAATTCGACAAGTTGAATCTGATCGCCACCGCAGAATAGAACGCCGCCAGGCCGCTTCGTCTCCAAAACTTGATCGCGCCAATGTGAAACGGGTCATATCATAGACTTAAAATAAAATATAGACTGAGCATCTCATTCATAAATAGCTGGAACATGCGGTCAGACAATGTCTTGTTATTGTTGTGTTATTGTTTTAGATTATAACGAGTACAACACGAGTGATAGATAGGTTGTCTCTGTCGTAACGGTCGTTCCCTGACGACTCTGACGCGAAACACAACACTGTCTTTCGTTTCTCAAGTACACCTGAACTCGCCGTATCATAGCCGGGTAATTTTTTTATTTTAATGAAGCTATAATTAAATTAAAAATATATCGGATTTAATTTTTTTTATATTTTATTAAGATTTAAGACAGGTTTTTTTAAATAAAAGTTTAGAAAAAACGTCTTAGAAACCAAAAAGGATAAAAATAATAAAATACACATTATAGAAGAAATTTTATAATCGAAATTGCGTAATTTTTGAAATTAATAGTGAATTATTAATTTTAGTCAAACATTTACAACCTCTAATATTAATCAAAACAGGATCTATTCCACAGATATAATAGAATCGGCGACAGGGGGAGAAAAAAATATATGATTGTTGTAATTTTTTTTCTGGTTAGTCTTATTACGTAAATTAGAGAAAACATAAATCTGTTCCACTAAAGCAAAGAAGGTGATAGGAAGTGGATAAAATAAAAACTACATTTATTTAACTTGGTACTGTCTTTATTATACCGGGTGCGTCCCAAAAGTGGCTCATCCCCATATTTTTTTTATATTTTCAAATAAAAAAAAGATTTAGTATATTAGTATATGACATTAATTAGGATTGATTGACGCATTCAATTGTTTTTGGTCACTTCCTCTTTCACCGGAAATGACTATAACTTTTAATTTTTAAACGGCACCCTCGGTATATTTCTACTTTATTCGATAGAAAATGACACTCTGAATAGAATGACATATCATATGTCAACTTTTGACATTTTTGCATATGGTTTAATTGTAATTGTAACACGCGGTTTATAACGACAATTTGACTCGATATACTAAGTGTGTGGTATCAATATAATCATAAAAAAAATGCATTTTCCAAATATGCTAATGAGTCACCCTTGTTCCATTTGAAAAAATTGACATATGTATGATTAAAAATACGATTTGTACATCTTTTAACCGGCCTAGACAAGACACGAAACCCATTAGACGATCAAAACTATTTTTCCAAGGCTCCTTGATTAAAACTTAGTGTTTTTAACAACACCATGGCACCCTGGATTCAAATTTAAAATACGATTAGTTTTTAAGCGACAATGTCAAAAGTTGACATATGATATGTCATTCTATTCAGAGTGTCATTTTTTATCGAATAAAGTAGCAATATACCGAGGGTGCCTTTAAAAATCAAAAGATGTAATCATTTCGGTGAAACAGGAAGAGACCAAAAACAATTGAATACGTCAATAAATTCTAATTTATGTCATATATCTACTAACATACAAATCTGTTTTTTTTTTATCTGAAAAAATAAAAAAGTTATAGGGGTGAGCCACTTTTGAGACGACCCGGTATATTAAAAAATATTGTTTCATAATGTAATATCATTTTAAAATTCTTGTATGTTATTTTAGATTCTGAAGATAATTTTAGAATAAACCGGAATATATTTTTAATAAAAACATTATTAATTATTAACAGGGTTATAATTATGATTTTGTTACAATGTAAGTAAGTAAATAATGTAATGTAAGAGAAAAAATTCAGATTTTACATTTTACTAAAATATTATCTAAATAAGCGCCTTTCTACAACAACGCCACTGACTCCCAATGGGTAAATTGAGAGTTGCCTACCGGTCAAAAGTCGTTTCAAGACTTAAATGGATTATTTAAGTCAAATTTCTTGCAAATTTGGCACTGGCGAACCATATTTTATAGTTCTTGAACAGAAAAAGTCAATAAAATAAACACTTAAGCACTACAAGCTAAGAAAATGCGTTAATACAGCCGGGGAGATAGCGGCAACAAAGCTTTACCGCACACGTGCGACACGTACTACAAGGTAATAAATGAATGAATAGGCTCCCTCGCCTCTAATCGGTGTTGTCATATTGTAAAGAACTTATCCTTTTTAAACAGTATCCGACTTATAATTTAGTAGTATAAGGACTATTTAATACATCTCTGGAATATTAAAACCTACTTTATTAAACTGTAGTATTAATATCTCAATATATGTGTATAACAAGAAAAAAAATATTGATAATATTAAAGACGTGACAACATAGGCTGGATGAGGAAGGCTCGGTCGACTGTACCCAGAAGTAAACATGTGTACAAAAAAGATTGTTTGTCCGCGTTGAGATGTAAATAGTGTAGTCTATATTTTATTTTAAGTCTATGGGTCATATGTATTCTTCAGCAACTTTTAGCCGCGGCCGCGTGGAGATCGTGATCGCGGCCGTGAATATAGCCTAAAAGTCGAATTAAGTGATTACTACAGCCACTGTGACATAAAGAGAAGACATGTGGCTATCTATTTCAAAAATTAAATTCGAGTGATTAAAAAATTATCATAAATAATTTTTTTCAAATGGAAACCCACTTTTTTATTTCACTAATGAAACGGTTTTTCAATTCGTTACTTTTTAACTATACATATTCCTATACCTAAAATAAATCGTTTTTAAGTTATATAAGATTTAGTTTGAAAACGTATATTTTTCTTGATTTTATCTAGCTTCCTTTGACATTAAGTGTCAAACTGTCAGACAATTTATTTCCATCTGTCAGAAAACGAATTATTAAATTGAATTTCCAATAGTATAAATACTGCTTGCTTAAGAATTTAAAAAGTGTATTTATAAAAATATATCTTGATACGAATCTCGTATTTTCGCTCTTTAGTGATATCTAATAGTTGATATTATTAATAATATTCCGTATGATCGAAAAAAAAACAGCGCAAAGTTTGCTCGAAAATGATGCTGCTTTTGAACACAACAAAGAAGCGTCACAATATGACTTGACGTTTAAAGTCATAGGCTACTGAAAATCAGGAAAAATATATGCTTTAAAACTAAATCTTAAATAACTTAAAAACAATTTATTTTAGGTATAGGAACATATGTATAGTTTTATTTAAAAGTAGTTAATTAAAAGTAACGAATTGAAAAGCCTTTTCACCAGCGAAATAAAAAAGTGGGTTTCCATTTGAAAAAAAATATTTATGATAATTTTTTAATCGCCCAATTCAATGACAGCTGCGGCGATAATTATATAACATTCTAACAATTTAATTTTTGAAATAGAAAGCCACATATTTTCTCTTTATGGCACAGTGGCTGTGCTAATCACTAAATTTGACGTTTAGGCTATACACATATTTTTGACAGGCAGTTTTTTCGTTCAAAAATTTTCAATATTTTTTTTCTCAAAAACGGTCAATGTTAGATAGAGGGTGTTTAATATCAAAATACATAAAATTTTACAGAGAATTTAAATACATAATAAAAAATGGGGGCTTTCATTTAAAGGTGCATATTCATTATCCGAACGAACGAATGAAAGTGCGGTATATTTAGACGGGGACCGAACGCATGCGGCCGTTCGTTCGTTCGTTCGCTCGACCATCCGTTTCGAGTCGGTACATCAAAGGCGTTCGCCAAGAAATGCGTCCGGTGTGTGGTCCGGTCTTCTCGTGCGGTTCTATCATACGGTCCCCGTCCATATCACTAGCGAACATTCGTTCGTTCGTTCGTTCGGATAATGAATACGCACCTTAAAATAAGAAAACTGCTGTCAACTTCCGGTATATCCGGAAGTGCCGCCATATTGAAAATATTTTTAATCGATAGATCTCGTTGTGAAACTATGATGTACAAAAAATCTCCGAGCTAGATGTTGTACTTCTCTAAAAACTTCTAATGCACGCGCAGCCTGGGACACCCTGTATATGTGTGTAAGGGAGACAAGAATCCAATAGGTGCTCAGTCAAGCAATACGATATTATTTATTTTTTTGTCTTAAACAAATCTGGAATATGTACTTTGTAGTAAAGTTTTGTGTCTAGCCCCTCCCCCTTTCCGGAATCCTGGTTCCGCTCTTGTGTACCACATTCATAGAACCCTTCACAACATCGATCTCTTCAAATTCTTTGTGTAAGACGCACCGAGGTCTAACTCCATATAAAATCTTTGATTCAAAAAGCTAAAGATTTATATTCTTTAGCTTTTCTCTCTAGCTATCTCTCCAAAAAAAAAATCCTTTGGGCATTTCGCCACTGTAAGAAAATCTACAAAATAAAATAGTTATTTTTTGTAAACACTGCTGGGCGTTAATCCAACGTTTTGAAGAGATTTATATTTTAATAACTTTATTAACTATATATTATTTATTAATTCTATTAACTATAGTATAACAAATTTGTTATCTTACCATATAACATAATATTATGTTCACAATCTTTTATTGGTTTTTAATGTTTAATTTAGCAGCAGGAAAATGTCGTAAACATTTAATTTATGTATGGTATTTGTGATTTTATTACTGTCACATAGGTGTTGCGGAAAACTTTATAACTATATCATATTTCTTCAGCTGTTATGTTAGGTCAGCTGTTACATTTATAACCAGTAAAAAAATTACTGGAGTAGAATTTGTATAAAGTTGTCAAATAAAAGAAAAATGTGGAATTAGTAGGTAAAAAATATTTTATTAATCATGGATTGATAGTAAGACAGTTCTGCCAAGCTAAGAAAAAAAAACGTTATCTGATGTGTTGTACAAGTTAGTCTTTCTTGTTAATAATTATTATAATAAGGGCACTAATATAAAATATAACCGTCAGATTTACACTTAAGGCGACATTATATTTCATTATAATTCCAAATTAATTTTTCCTTTCATTTGATTGGAATTTGCTTTTATCTTTTTAAAGACACTTGTCGTTAAGATGTTTTTCTTTAACACGACCCAGTATATTCATACCGGGTGGTTCTCAAAAGTGGCTCACCGCTATAACTTTTTTATTTTTTCAGATAAAAAAAACGAAATTTGTTATGCTAGTACCATAGTACAAGGAAACTAGTAGCTTGACTCCTCGTCAAATCTTTTGTTCCTTTTCTGCTACTTTATATGACGTCGTTCTCGCGTCACGTGACCACTGACGTAGCTATATAGTCGAAATCTGTGACTAGGCAAAGAGTAGTAGTGGCATGGTCATAGCATGCCACCCGGTAAAAACCGTAAATAGCAACACCCGGTAAAAACCGTAATTTTAAATGCTTATCCAGAAAAAAAAAACGGGATCACTAATACCATGATCCCGTTTAAAACATTCATGTAAGTCATCTTTAAACCTACTGACAAAATCACACATAGGGCATTTTTGTCTAGTATTCTGTACAGGGATATTGGTATTATTTAAACCAACAGTTCTATCATCAAAGATATTAAGAGAAAATTTTCCATTCTTAAAGAGGACAAAGAAAGTCACAGTTAACAGTTAACGTCCATGCACCATCATTACTAATATCCTGAATAGCAATGCTTACACTTGACTTTGCCTGACTTCTTTGAGAATTTGGTCAATTACCTTGTGCCACTTGTGCGTGTGATTTTAAATGCCATGCTAAACATGTTTACAAAATTCGCAGGTAAATGCATATTCTTTATTATTTGCTTCTCTATGTTATTCGGATCAAATTTTTAACGTGTTTCCGAAGTTTACACTAAAACACACAAACTGCGATTACATTCGCAGCAAACATTAGAAATATTGGTATTCAGGGGCGGATACAGGAATTTATTTTAAAGTGAGTCCAAATAAAAAGTAATGTAGAATATGCTTTTTAAAGCGCCATTTTTAACCCAAAAGCATAATATTTCTTCCAATTTATAGATTTTAGAGGGGGCCGGGGTCTCATGCTCTTCTCCTCGGTATCCGCCACTTATTTATTAACCAAATAAATTATATAGAGAATGTCATTGATGTTCATTTCCAAGATCATACGGTATATGTCTTGTATACACACATGGCCAAAATTATTGCATATATCGTTTAAAAATATACGGTAAGGAATTTAAAGAATCTTTTTTTATACATAGCTTTGATAATCTGTAATAAACATTTTTTTGTTAAAATACCAACCCAATATTATTACTAATTCGTGCACAATTCGATTAGTGGTCTCTTGGGTTTCAGAAGAAATTTGACCATTGTTTTGGCCTTAAAATGCCTAGAAACCTTATTTCACAGTTTAATAGAGTCAGAATAGTAACACTGTCTCAAAAGGGCTACCGGCAAGTCGCAATAGCCGAAATCGTAGGAGTTAGCCAAAGCGATGTTTCGCGAATATTAAAAAAATTCAGGGAGACAAACGAGGTTACACACCGGCCTGGAAGAGGTAGAAAGAGAGTTACTACTGCTGCCCGACGCAATCACCTGCTTTCTAGTACTGCTAATAAAAATGAGTTAGCTCGCCTTGAAGGAGTAAATATTTCAAGAAAGACTCCATGACAGAGGATTACATTTAAGAAGGCCTCTACGTGTTCCGAAGCTTAATTTACAGCACAAAATTACGCGACTACAATGGGCTGAAGAGATGAGAGCAAATGGACCTAATCAGAATTTTGTCATGTTTAGTGATGAAACAAGAATAGGCTTAGTGTTAGACTCGCGACGAACTTTGGTCTGGAGAGCATCTGAAAGACGAGCACGCTTGAATGCAGCTCAACCCCGTGTCCCCTTTGAAGGGGGAAGCATTATGGTATGGGCAGGTATAATGCACGGAGTTTGAACTCCTCTTGTTTTTATTGATGGTACAATGACAGATGCCTCATATCTTGGAGACGTTTTAGAGCCTATTGTGCGTCCATTTCGAGGGGCAATGGGGATGAATTTGTTTACATGGACGATAATGCTACTCCCCATCGCACTTTAGCGGTTTACGAATTTTGTGAGGAAGAGGGTATAAGAAAACTGTGGTGGCCACCGATGTCTCCAGATATGAATGTGATCGAGCATGCTTGAGACATGCTAAACCGCCAATTGCCAAAAGGACTGCTGCGCGCGAAACATGAGAAGCCATTCCTCAACATCTTCTGGATAACTTCTTCTAGGCAATACAGACTATTAGTTGTGAGAAATAATCAAAATTGTTTTCAATATTTTCTGTTTAAAATGAAATTTGTTTTTGTTGATTTTCACTCATTATGAAATAAAATTATAATAACAATCTAGTTGCACTTAGATTTTTAATTTTATATTAGTTAGTCGTGTAGTAAGCCAATATGTCCAAAAATATAAAAAGAATCATATTAGGTCCAAACTAAAATAAAAATATCGTTATATGCAATAATTTTGGTCATGTGTGTATGTAAACTGTTCATAAAATAAAGCGACAGCAAACGGCAACATTGTTGGGTATGCCAGTTGACTAGTGGGTCGTAAAAGCTAATGACTGACCGACGGACAAACAAAGTCCTATAATAAAGGTTCCGTTTTCTTCTTTTGAGGTACGGAATCTTAAAAACAAATACCTATTTGCATTCTGGTATAATATTCACTTTACATTATTCATTATTTTACGATACCTATTTAAATACTTACTGCACTGCCTACACCTGCCCTTAGGTGCTTCTTGAATAGAATATCTATGTGAAAACAGGTACATATTAAAAAATTGACATTAAAAAATGAGGCCATATTCTAATTGGCTTGAGAAATGAACATAATTTAAATAGAAGAAAACTATAAAACGCCCCATAGCAGACATCTTTATATTGGTCCTTGACTTTTTTATGTCTAGCCGAAGAAGTGTTAAGCTGCCGGTTGCACTTTTATCATCAGTCGTAAAATTTGTATAAATAGAAGATTTTTGCCAAAATGTATTATACTTCAGTTTCGTCTGTTCGCCAGATCTCATAACAGAAATAAAACAAAAATGTTCAAATTGGTAAGTAATTGTGAATTTTAGTTATAGTGGAGTGCCCAGAGACTTTTACCTCGGAATTCAATTACTGTGAATATATTAATGTGAAACCTTCTGTATTGTGTTTTATAGATAAAATACTAAAATGCTTACCCATTTTTTTTTCGTTGCTTTTAATTTTTTATTTTAGTAAATTCTTAATTATTTCCTTCTTAATTTTTTTATTTTTTTAATTCTTTTTCTAAGAAAATGTATTGAAATAAATAAATCTAATGCATAAGCTATACTTATTCTGCTTATATTCTAGTCATTGAAATTTTGATTGAAATCGAATTATACAGGGTGGCGCGTCATATACGACGCGGTTTTTGCAAGGAGAACAAACGTTTATATTGAAGTGAAATTTTGTGAGCTTATGTAAGTCAATTTAAAGCATTTTCTAAAATCATGTAGAGTTCTACAGGGTGTCCCCAAAAAAAGTTACACATCAAAGTTATGTTTTTTGTAATGGAACACCCTATATATTAATTGATTTTTGGATTCTAGTAAAAAAATAAAGGTTTGTTTCATTAGAAAAGTATATGACTAAAATGTATAATTTTTGAAATACATTCACCGGCACGAAAAATGGGCACCTTAAAACTTTGATGTATTTTCAAGGTTAATATATTTTGTTTTAATGGGCCGATTTTGATGATTTTTAAGCAGTGTGTAGCCAAATTAGTTGACTTTTTAGTATCTTTTTCTAAATTAATAATGAAACTCCCCTTCTGTTAATTATACGAGGGAAAACAAAATGTTGATATTTTGGTACAAAGTTTGAATATGTTAAAACAGCAAGAAATTTAAAAATCATTTTATCATCTAGATACATCTTTTCTCGATGGTTTATTTTTTGGTTCATCTCATTAGCTTTATTTTTGTTGGAAATATTCGCTTTTGAAGAAGACACTAACATTTTTCGTAATTTTTACATTAAAACCATGTATTTGCTTTTGAGCCTAGTCAACACATCTAGTCAGTTCTGGTTCCGAAGCATGCCTTCTTGGCATAAGATTTGCTTCATTTAACCTTCTTCCGTTAATTAATATGTACGTTCCTTAAGTGCAATTCATTATATCATTTTAAAAAGCTGGTAAACAGCGGTTTCTTAGCGATAAACTAACAATAAGTCGATCGTCTCGATTAGAAGTTCTCACGAAGGTTCCTGGACGTCTAGATTGACGTCCTCATGAATGTGGTCATAATTCAAAAACCACTTAGTATACTCTATGGTATTAAAGTATTTTTGGAACCCGAATTTTATAGAAAATTCACTGAACTAAACAAATATAGATATATATTTGACTCACCCTGTATATCTACAAAAATATTTTTGAAATGTAAACTACCAGTAAACACATATTTTGTAAAATGTTTGGAGTGAAAATCTCAAATAGGAATCCTGATACAGAGCTTTTTCAGAACACGGAGCCATCTTGTATGTAATGCATTTGTATATGTGTGTTTATATAAATACTAAAGTGTAAGCAACGAATTTAAATGGGTAAACTTTGTAATATATCTTATTAACAATACAATGCAGAAAGTTTTATAAAAAGTCGTTCACAGTAAATGAATTCCGAGGTTTGTATCCCATAAGGGCTTAAAGCACTCCACTATTATAAACGAAAATAAAATTAGTAATTTTTCAAATAAGTCAAATAAAATTAAATGCTACATTTATAACATAAACACTTCATGTGTGAGTGGTTTTTGAATGATAAATGATGTCATTTATGGGGAATTATGTAGTGTATACTATTATTATATTACAAACATACGAATAGTTTAGTACAGTGTGTCCCAAAATATGCCTATAGACATAGAAACTAGAACTACTATTGTAGGCTATTTTTGGAATCAAAATAAGTTCATTGGACACTTATATAAAGAGGTGTGATGATATACTATAGCCTAAGAGCTGACGACATATTTAGAGAACATATTTTAGGCAAGCTAAAATAACTAAAAATTTATAGTTTATTAACTGGTGAACCCAGAATCCTAAGTCTGGCTGGGGGGTTGGGGGTATTTCGCTACTGCGCAACCCATAATATTTGCAAAAAAATAAATCCAAAAAACATTCTTTAGGCAACTTGAAATTTGTTTATTCTTAAATTTTAGCATATATTTAACCTAGAAATAAGTATGCCAGACTTTTTTTTCGGGTTTAAAGTGTAACCCGACCATTCCAAATATGTTTAATTATTATACCTGGAAAACATACTTTAGGCATTCTAAAATTTTTACAGGGTGTTTATTAGATGATATTAAAACATATGTGTTAATTGTCAAACGAATTCAATGGGATTTAATACTTGCCAGACGCGAATAAAGATTTTAAATGAGCGCGATAAGAAAGTCTTATGAGTATCTATAAGCGGGAGAAAGATAGTTTATTGAGACCCGGTCGGCAGCCGATGCGGCTGACATAACAGCATTTTGGAGTCGTAAAAACTTAAAAAAAACTAATATTGAATAAATAAAAAGAAACGTTTTTTAATAAAAATGTTTAATTGAAATCCTTTCAATAAGAAGACTTTTTAATTTAAGTATTTTTTTTGTATCCGAAAGAATAAAAAGACGAATAATTATTTAAAAATTAGCATAATATAAAATATATTTTTTTCACACGTCACAAAAGTATAATTATTATTATACTTTTGTGACATATTATATTATTATTAATTTTTGCGACCTGATTGACAATATAAAAAAGTCATTTTAACGCCTAAGCATAAAAGTAAAGCACTTTTACTTACTTTTGAATCTATTTAGAAAGAGTAACAATGGTACTTTAATAAAATTCCAGAATACTTATTTTTTTAGCACTGTACATGGTACCCTTTTGTCGGGACTACGTTTTCTGGTAAAACCATTTCTTTAAATTTTAAGCCAAGTTCTTGACGCACTTTTAAAAATTCTTTGCATTTTTGTAGTCTGCCTTCATCAAAAACAATAACTTTGTCACTAGTAACTTTTTTACAAACTACACAACTGAAATGTTTTTTATCCATTGAGATTTAGTAGTTAGTAGCAAATTTAGTAGTTACTAAAATATTATTTGCAGTAATTATTCTAAACTATTTACACTATGCACGTCAATATTTAATTTATAAATACATATTTGTACATGGAAACTTAATTCCAACAAAATAATCTCTGATTTAAAAGCCTGCAAATAATTGAAATGAAACCGAAAAAAAAATGTTTTTATGGAAATTTGAAGTGCTCCAAAATACTGTTACGTCACCCGCATCGGCTGCCGACGGGTCTCAATAAACTATCTTTCTCGCGCTTATAGATACTCATAAGACTTTTATGTCGCGCTCATTCACAATCTTTATTCGCGTCCTGGCAAGTATTAAATCCCATTGAATTCGTCTGGCAATTAACACATATTTTTTAATATCATCTAATAAACACGCTGTAAAAATTTTAGAATGCCTAAAATTTGTTTTCCAGGTATAATAATTAAAAATATTTGGAATGGTTGGGTTACACTTTAAACCCGAAAAAAAAGTCTGGCATACTTATTTCTAGGTTAAATAGATGCTAAAATTTAAGAATAAACAAATTTCAAGTTGCCTAAAGAATGTTTTTTGGATTTCTTTTTTTGCAAATGTTATGGGTTTCGCAGTAGCGAAATACCCCCAACCCCCCAGCCAGACTTAGGATGCTGGGTTCACAAGTTATTAAGCTTTATTTTTTTTGTTATTCTAACTTGCCTAAAATATGTTCTCTAAATAGATCGCCAGCTCTCCGGCTACTAGTGCTTCCTTTGTCCGTTAGAGGGCATACACCTTTAAGAAATCAATACATTTTTTACGATATTTTAAGATTCGTTATTTCGATTTCAATGAGATTTGGGGTGTCTATGTTTTGCTATATGTTTTATAAAAAATGTCTATACCTATGTGGCGGATTCATCTCTCCAAAAAATCCTATATGGGTATTTCGTCACTCCAAGAAAATCTACAAAATAAAATAGTTATTTTTTGTAAACACTTCTGCGTTAATCCAAACGGAAACTACTTGTCAGAAGTTAGGTTTACAGATATACAAATTTGCCGAACGAACAAAAAAATGCTTAACGTTTCGGAAAGTTTATCTCTTTCGGTCGTCGGAAGCAAAAAAATACAAAGAATCGAAAAAACTATTTAAAATATTTAAATTCAACTATTCGAGAACACTTTAGTTTTTAAAACAGATACGTCTACAAAAACCGTTGATGTTCTATTAAAATGACATTATATTCAAAATTAACAATTATTACCTGATAATAATTACTTAGTAAGGTAAAAAATGGTAAAACCAAAAAGCCCAAAACTTTCTGTATGATTATTTTTAATTTTTACGTATGATATGTTTATTTATATTATGTTATTGAAATCAAAGAAGCGATTGCTATACAAGATTGCGATTACAATACATTTATTTTTATTAGATTGTATTAAAAAAGCCTCTTTTATTTTTCTTTTAGAGGCTATCGCTTCTGTGATTATAATTTTGGCGTTATTAAAATTTATTCTGTGCCCTGTGTCCCATAAATGCTGACAAATCTTAGATTTGTGAAAATATATATGTTTTATCATTTGACTTCCACAAAAATAGTCGTAAAAAAAGAAAAAGCAAGGGAAAGAAAAAAGTCCGGGAAAAGAAAAAGTACGGGAAGGATGAAAATTACTCTTACCCCTATATAAATTTTATTAGAAATATTTTCCAACTCCATCGACGACCGATTTTGTTTCGTAAAATGGTCCTTCTAGTATTTACTAGATTTTTGTGTCTTATAGAAAAAAAAAACATATTTTTAGAAGCTGACTTCAAAAAATACTAATTTATATTTTAGGTAGTAGCTTCTGCACTTGTAGCTTTTGTAGCTGCCGATGTCAGTCATTTGTTTTCAAAGCCAGGAGCAGGACAAAATGCCCAAATACCCATTCTCAAATTCAATTCTGACGTGAGACCTGATGGTAGCTACGAATATAGGTAAGTAAAGAACATTATCAATGCCAAAAATATATTCATAATATACGGGGTGAGTTTTAAATAAGTGCAAATATTTTCAGGGCTGGTAGATCTCTATAAAAGAAACATTTGTTCTCTTTACCGTTTTTCAAATAAGTTCGAAATAACGGAATTATTTTACTTTGAAAATTTAAAAAATAAAAATATTTTTATTTTTTTAAAATAAATATATTTTTTGCTTAAATTTTGAGAACCACTGAATATTTTCTGGGTTTCTTTCTTGTAAATTTAATCTACTACCTATATGTTGCCATATTAGCAAGATGATATATGTTTTATCCAAAAATAAATATTCAAAAAGTTCAAAATATTGATTTTTTTTCGCGTAAAAAACAAACTTATAGTTGTTTGTCTGGGGTCGAAATATACAACTCCTAAAATTTGCTGGTCGAAATATACAACTCCTAATTTGCACTTACTTAAGACTCACCTTGTATAATATTCGTAATATATAGTCATGATTGGAGTTACAATCGTTATTGTTTATTACAAAGAAACCATCCCCAAAATGACTGAAAATACAATTTACTTTCATGGTACAGGACTCCATTCCATAAAAAAATATCGAGAAGACAATTGTATGCAGCAAATTCTTTTTTGTGTGTGTGTTTTATCAATCTGCTCTGCCATATTCTTGTAAGACGCGTTGTGGCAGTTTTTGCTAACCGTATTCTGCGTCTAATTTCTATTTTATAATTGTCTTCGTCTTTTATGTTTGATCCTAAATAAACAAAATCATGAACCACTTCGATACCATTAAGCTGGAAAGGTCTTTGTTGGGGTTTTCTTCTGTCCACGAACATTAATTTCGTTTTTTGGCGGTTGATAGTTAGTCCCATCTCAGCACTTTCATTTTCTACTCGCAACAGTAGACTCGCCATTTCTTCTTTACTGGTCGCAATTAATGTTGTATCGTCTGCAAATCGTAAGTTGTTGATTTTAGCTCCTCTTACACTGATACCTCCATCCCAGTCTTCCAGAGCTCTCCTCATAATCTAATCTATACTAATATGTATATAAAATCCTTAAGTGACTGACATACTGATTAATCACGATACTGCTCAAACCACTCAACGTAAGAAGCTCAGTTTTGGCATACAGGTTGATTTTAGGGTGTAGAGGTTTGATAAGAAGGGATTTTTCGAAATTCCAGATCCAAGAGGGTGAAACCACCCCTCAAATATTACAATATTTTTTATTTAAAAAACGGTCAAGTTTCCTAAAAAACGCTTAAACACGTATATTTTATTTTGTTTTTTTACATATTTTAAGATTTTTTAAAAATGTATACAGGGTGTTTCGAAAAATTTGGTCATTGATTAATCACGATCCTGCTTAAAGCGCTTGACGTAAAAAGCTGATTTTTGGAAAACGGATTGACTGTGGGGTGTACAGGTTCGATAAGGAGGGGTTTCCTGAATCTCAAATTCTAAGAGGGTGAAAACGCCCCTCAAATATTACAATATTTGATATTTAAAAAACGGTTAGTCTTTCGGGAAAACGCTTGGACGAGCATAATTTATTTGTTTTTTTTATATATTTTAAATTTTTTTAAAAAATCATACAGGGTGTTCCAAAAAGTTGGGTAATTTCTTAACCACGATTCTGCTTAAACTGCTTGACGTAAAAAGCTTATTTTTGGTAAACGAATTTTTTTGGTAAGTTAAATTCCAACGAGATGAAACTACCCCTCAAATATTACCAAGTTATATAATAATATCGCCATATTTTTTTTTCTCATGCTGACATAAATGTGAGAAAATTGTATCCAGTTTGTATGTTAATGGAAATTTTTGCTTTGCTTTATCATCACCATTACAAATGATTAATTCGACGCGAACGAAGTCGCTGGTACACGCTAGTAAATTAAATAAACTACTTAATTCAAAATTAAATCTAAACAAATAAAACAAAAGTCAGGTTTGTTACACCATTGGAGAATGGCTGGAGAATGCTGGAATATGCTTGGAGAATGGCTGGACAATACTTGTAAAGAAAAATTATATTTTTTTGTTTATATTTCGATTCGAAATTGATCACTTTGTTTTATTTATGTTGTGTTTTATTCTGGTCTTGGTTTTGCTTCATTTTTTCACTGTTGGCCGAATTAACTTGTACTAAAAAAATGTTGTATTATTTTCCAGTTACCAAACCGGAAATGGAATAAATGTCGAAGAACGTGGCCAGCAAACAAGAACTGCCGAAGGTGAAGGTACAGCCGCTCAAGGATTCTACCAGTTCACTTCCCCAGAAGGCGTCCCTGTCTACTTACAATACGTAGCTGACGAGAACGGATTCCAACCTCAATCCGATGTTCTGCCCACTCCTCCACCAATCCCTGCTGCCATATTGAGGTCTTTGGAATACAATGCGGCTCATCCGGAACAAGAAGAACCCGCTTCCAAGTTCCAGGTTGCTCAAAAGCCGTTCTTTGGCCAGTCTAGTCAGCGCAGATTCAGAAGATTTGTCAGTTTACAATAAACTATTTATTTATTTATAATATTATGTTGTAGAAAATGTATTAAAAGACAGTAAATTGCAAATATATTTATTTTTTGATTAAAATTGATGTAGTTATTTTTCTATATGCCAATTATCAAAAATATACAGGGTCCGGAAATAGTGCGTCGGGCATCTGTAGCTCCTAGAATAAACAAATTGAGAATTTTGTGTAAGTGCAAACCTAAAGTATGTACCAAGATGTATTTCCGGAAAATATTTTAACTTCTATAGGGTGGCACAAAAAAGTGTGAGTGGATCTGGATGATTTTTTTAAATGGAGCACCCTGTATATTATTGCATTTTTGGCTTCCTTTCAGATCACTTCACATAATCCTAAGATATGAGTAAATCTATTTAGATAGTTTCAGAGATATTAAAAAATAAATCAAAAATATATATTTTTCAACCCTTCTTAGAAAAAATATTAAAAATACAAGAACTATTCTGAACTCGAAACTGTATTAGATATTTACTTTAGATGGTCTATTCTAACTTTGCTATAAGCATGGTAATCGTAAATCGTACAGGATGTTCAATATTTTACGCCAAACTTTCAAAAATATAAAATAATTTTTCTTCGTTTTTTTTTTTAAATGGGACACCTTGTATATTATTTTTTATTAGATGGAGAATTAAAAAATGAACATTTTTTGTATTTAAAGTATTTCAAAATTTTTAATAGTTTTCCGGATACACGCAGTATTATTTCATATGGCGCTTCCAATGGTAAAATACGAGAGAAAAATCATTAGGTGGCTTTGATGAAAATTTACTGTGGAAAATGCCATATGAAATACAAAACCGGTAATATCTACGAAACCGTTAAAAATTTTGAAATACTCTAAATACAAAAAATGTTCATTTTTTAAGTCTCCGTCTATTGAAAAAATAATATACAGAATATTCCATTTAAAAAAACGAAGAATAATTATTTTATATTTTAGGAAGTTCGGCGTAGAATTTTGAACATCCTGTATGATTTACATTTCCATATTTATACCAAAGTAAGAACAAACCATCTAAAGTGAATATCTAATATAGTTTTGATTTCAGAACAGTTCTTGTATTATTAATATTTTTTTTAAGAAAGGCTGAAAAATACATAATGTTTATTTATTTATTAATATCATATAATTTAATGTAATATTATATTATTTATTATGTAGAGTGATCTGAAAGGAAGCCAAAAATACAATAATATACAGGGTGTCCCATTTAAAAAAAATCATCCAGATCCACTCACACTTTTTTGAGCCACCCTATAGAAGTAAAAATATTTTCCTGAAATACATCCTAGTACATAATTTAGGTTTGCACTTAAACAAAATTTCCAAGTTTTTTATTCTAGGAGCTACAGATGCTCGACGCACTATTGCCGGACCCTGTACAGGGTGGGTCAAATTCGACGCTTTTAAATGGAAACACCCTTTTCTATAGGAGATAGACTAAAACTAATATCGGTGTCTGGAGCTCAATTTTTGTCAAAAACATGATGGTGAAAACCGCATATCGATATCTGTTACCGTTTCGGACTTATGGGGTGTTTTTCAAAAATATGCATTTTTAACAAATCGCTGTAACGCTTTTGCTATGGAAAATTTTGTATTTTTATGAAAACATTTCCAAAGCACCTTTTTACGTAGAATTTAATGGTTTAAGTATAATTTTTCTAAAATTAATATTTTAAGAATTATCAACAAAAAATTTGATTTTTTATATGGGACACCCTGTATATTTTTAATTTATTGAAAAGAATTTAAAATTACCTTTCCAAAAATATAACAAACTTAATATTTTGCTCGATTCCTCTTCGAGATATAGAGTATATAAAAATTCGCCCGCTTTAAATAAGTAGGCTTTGAACGGCACCGGCTGTAATGCAAAAAAATTCTAGCTGTGAGCATCAATTAAAACGAAAATAATATTTGCTATGAGAGATGCAGAATTTACATAACAATTTTAAAACATATTTAACCAACATCAACACATTTAAACTATATCTAATAACATTAAAAATAAATAGCAAACCAAGACATGAGATTTTGCTATAGGTGTTCAACATATCGACCGTCTTCTGTTATGGACAGACGTGGCAGTTTTTGAACATTTCTCGCGAAATTCATTAACTCAGTGGGGGTGAAAGATACCCTCATATCTAATCATAACTGCTAAGTATTTCTAATTCTTGTCTAGATTATACGGAAGAATAAGGAACCTTTTTTTCGCATATATATATCAATAGGATTAGATCCATGGGTACTAAGTCAGGCGGCCTCGACGGCCAACGGCTGGGATCTTGGTTAGCTATTCAAATATTCTTGAAATTGGCTGCAAAAATTTGCTAATAACTTCAGCGTTCAGAGCCGGTGCGTCGTCTTGCTGGAAAAATATGTTTTTCGAGTTCCATTAGAGTATATCATCAATAAAGGGTCCAAAGCCTAGTAGTTAAAAGTGGCGAACTTTTTAAAAATTCTGTATTTCGAAGAGGATTATAACAAAATATCCAAGTGTGCTATATTTTGGAAAGGTAATTTTAAATTCTTTTCAGTTAATTAAAAATATGGAGGGTGTCCCCAAATAAAAATCCATTTTCTGTTGATCACTCTCAAATTATTAATTTTAAAATTATACTTAAACCATTAAATTCTACGTAAAAGGGTGCTTTGGAAATGTTTTCATAGAAATACAAAATTTTCCATAGCAAAAAAGTTACAACGATTTGTTAAAATGCACAGCTTTTGAAAAAACACCCGTAACTCCGAAACGGTAACAGATATTGATGTGCGGTTTTCACCATCATGTTTTTGATGAAAATTGAGCTCCAGACACCGATTAGTTTTCGTCTATCTCCTATAGAAAAGGGTGTTTCCATTTAAAAGCGTCAAATTTGACCCACCCTGTACAGGGTGTCCCATTTTGGTTGAAATCATACGGTATCTCCGTTATTCATGAAGATAGAAGGGTGCGGTTTGCACAAACTTGTGCCACTTTTTTGCCAAACAAAAGATGCCGTAAACGAAATTTTCGTCTTGGTTGGTTTCAATTTGTGCTACCCCCTGTATCTCTGTTATTGTCAAAGGTATCGAGAAGGTAAAAACTGTTTGTAGTAGAACTTATTACGTAGAATACAGTGGCGTAGTCTGTTGTTCTACAAAAATAATATTTTTAAAAATATGAATTAAAGTTATGTTTTCTTAATTGGAACACACTGTATATTTATAAATTATATGATCTGGCTTGCCATAAGCTTCTCAAAAAGATATATCACTCTATATTTATTTTCAATATTTACTGCAATATTTAAAAAAAATATATTAACAACTCATATTTATTGTTACGTTTTTCGTCGGTTCCGTGTGGATAGAAAGTCACAATTTATTTAAACACTATTTATTTAACACTAATTAACAAAAACAATAACGATAAAAGACTTATAGAACTATTTACAAACGATTTATAACTAAGAATTTATTTTGAATTTTAGCGCGTCAACTGCACTTGGCTATTTATAACTGCCTTCTCTAGGCCACAGCCGCCGACTTTTATACCGACAGGTAAAGAACTCTAGAATAGTCCATAGATCGTTAGGTGCATAGAGAAGGTTTCGATTGTTCTCGTATGTACTACTCCATTCCAGTAGAACTCGATACTTCTCAAATCTTCGAATGAATCATTACGGTGTCTATGCGATGTTAAGGTCATCCGAGGGCGGGCCATATTGTTAGGTTAGGTCGAGTCCACACCGGTCCGTAACATTATATTAGTAGGCCATGATTGATAATAAAAGAAACTAAAGAATTATTAAAAGTATACTGCTATCGGTCTCTTGTTTTATTTTGAGAGCCACTAATAAATTCTTTATATATTAGGAAAACTTAACTTTCTACCGCTATTTGTAAATCGTATCGGAACTATCCTTTGGCTCATTTACGCGAAATATACTTTCAGCACAGAATATCTAGCTACGCAACAGAAGCCTCGTTACATGTATAAAATTGTAGGAAGCAAAAGGAGACAGGCTTAAACTTGGTATACTACGTATTTTCGGTGACATTGTAATATGATGGTACTATGATGCATATAATCTGGTACTATAATATAGTACCATATTATGTACATGGCTTCGATTGGGCTTAAATTTGGGATACTGCGTATCTTCGGTGATATTGTAATATTATGGTACCATGGAGCATAATAAGAGGTACCATAATATAATTTACCATATTACGATACCATTTCCTGGCAATTAGGCTTAAACTTGTTATACTACGTATCTTCGGTTACATTTGTAATATGATGGTACTATGATGCATATAAAATGGTACCTTAATATAGTACCATATTTCAATACCATTTCCTGGCGTTCGATTGAGCTCATATTTGATATATACTTGCGTATTTTTAATGACATTGCATTATTATGGTACCATGAAGCATATCAACTGGTACCATAATATAGTACTATATTACGTACATGGCGTTCGATTGGGCTTAAACTTGGGATATTACGTATTTTCGGTGACATTGTAATATGATGGTACTATGATGTATATAAAGTGGTACCTTAATATAGTACCATATTACGATACCATTTCATGGCGTTCGATGTTCTTAAATTTTGTATACTACGGATCTTCGGTGACATTGCAATATTATGGTACCTTAAAGTATATCGAGTGGTACCATAATATAGTACACTATTATGATATCATTTCCTGGAGTTCGATTGGGCCTAAATTTGGTATACTTGCGTTTCTTTATAAAGATTTGTTTAATTAATAATTTTAATTTATTTTACGAATTTTAATTTATTGTTCGATGTCGTGACAGCAACTTTTATGCCGAACTAATATATTATTAATTGTACCCGTGTCACTTTTTAAAATCTACCTAGGTCTATATAAATAACGTGGCAAACGGAAGAAATTTGTTATTATAGTATTTTTTTGTCAGTTAACATTTTTTGTACTGCATTTTAA